ATTTGCGTGTGTGCTCACTTTATTTACCAATCACATCATATAAACTCTATGAATAACCAAGTCACGCAGATGGCAGTGTTCACTGAATGGAAATGGCTTATTTGATTTTCAATTTAATAAAGAATTAATAATATTGCAACTGCTGGTATTTGAAGAGCAATGCAGATCAGGTGTCACCCATATATTACTCGTTTAAGTTTTGAGTAGGCTAGGCAGCTTAAATTAGACTCCAGCTTCACATGCAGACTATTTCAATTAGAGTAATCTCTTGTGATCTAAAATTCTTAGCTTTAAAGTCATACTGCGTAAATATTTTATTACATATTTAATAACACTTTTTCATAATCACAAAACTAATGCACATATATAAAATATGTGCATTTAAAGAGCTGCTGACATGACACGGGAAACTTTGAAAAATATTCTATTTGGGAATTAATTCAGCTCGGGGCAAAATTCAGAAATAATATTTAAGTGAGGGCAGCTGAATACATCACACATTGCTGCACAAATCTGAAACAAAAGCCTAGTTTTGCTCCACCACTTATTTTACATGTAAGAGTGTAGTCAATTCATATCCACACTGTTACAAAGCAATCCCAAGTACCTTACTGAATCAATACTAAAGTGGAGTTTAAAAGGAAAGACCAAGCCCAAACAATATAACTAAGGATAAATGTTGAATATTAACATGAATTAATAGTGCATTTTTGTTTCAGTCCTACATAAAGACACATTTGGGAGAAGCAGTGGGGAAGTCACTGTGTAATTTGCCACTACAAAAATAATGTTGAGACTCAGCCAGCTGGACAGTAGCAGTTGTGAAAGATAAAGGTGTACTTTTTTTTAACCATAGCCATCATCACTGTTCTTGCTCTTAATAATAAGCAGGTGTTTGTGGCCTCATTTGCTACATCAATGGCAGCAGAAAAAAAGATCTCAGAGTACAAGATGCCCTGGAGATGAAAGGCCCCAAATTCTGCAAGACAGGATAATATAAAGCTTTGGTCCAGCTTGAATGCCAACACCAAATTTCTTCTAGTGTCATTGCTGGTAACTTGGAGATGTGACGATGCTTTGTTAAACCACAGCAGTTCATGAGGCCAGCCAAGGACAGTGAGAGACACAGTAGGGAGGATGTAGCACCTTCTGTTCCTCATCAGACTCCACCACTGAGCACATGGATCCCTGGAAATGCAGGCAGGTTTTTACACTGCAGAATTCACACTTATTCTGCGTGGGTCTGGGCAGCCTGGTCTGGTGGTTGGTGACCCTGCACTTAGCAGGGGGATTGAAACTAGATGATCATTGTGGTCCTTTTCAACCCAGGCCATTCTATGATTCTATGATTCTATGATTCCATGAGGCATCTTCCTTCCTGTTGTCTCTATTTCTAAGTATCCATCAATTCCTGCCCCTTTTTAAGCACAGACAGTATGAGAGAATTTCATCTTGATTCTCATCAGAGAAGTCAGACTTTAATCCTTTTTGCAACATTTTAAGAAAACATATCTAATGTTACAGAGGTGTTTTTAACTGAAAAGAAAATGAAAGATGATGATTATTATTTTTTTTAATGGACGCTATACATATTCTAAGGAGACATAAGGAACATAAATTTGATTACTTGGATGGTCACCTTTTAGTAAAAAATTATGGGATAAGGTGATCGATAGATTAAAAGCAAGACAGAATTTCTGATATCAAGTGACTCTGATTTAACCTCAAAGCTATTAGGGCTCATGGAAAATCTGGAGGGATGCTCATTCTCTCCTGCAGAAAACCAGGCTGTGGGATGATGGCAGATCCACAGCCACAGCAGTCATAGAATCAGTGAATCATAGAACCAGGCTTCAGTTGGAAGGGACCTCAAAGATCACCCAGTTCCAATCCCCTGCTGTGAGCTGGGTGCCCCCCAGCTCAGGCTGCCCAGCACCACATCCATTGCTTCAAGAGCCTCGATGGATGGGGCACCCACAGCTCTGGGCAGTGCCAGGGCCTCACTGCCTCTGAGGGAAGAATTTCTGCCTAAAGAAAGCTTAGGAGAGCAGAATTAAAACATACTTAAAGTTGGCATCCAAGTTCTGAATTAGGAACATTATATCGTTTATCAAGAACAACACATCACAGTGTAACAGTGTTTTGTTTGTCTTTGTTTAAGCAAGCTGTTACGATAAATCTAAAGACAAACAGTGGATACATAATTGGGATAAGAATCTCCCATCGTACACAGATTAAGTAAACAACCTGGCATGTTGGCACAGGCAAACAGTAATCCATCATTGACCCTGTGACTCAGGTGTCATTTTTTCTTACAGCAGAATGGGATCCAGAATCCCTATAGTCCTGATGCAGCAAGCCCTTGACTCAAAAATACAATTAATCTAAGAATAAATTAAATGATTGTGTTGATGTAGTTATAGAATCAGAATTATTTGTGTGGGAAGGAACCTTTAAGGGTCCAGTCTAGTCCAACTCCCCTGCAGTGAACCAGAACACCCACAGCTCCATCAGCTTCTCAGAGATCCCTCCAGCCTAACCTTGAGTGTCAGGCTTGTCTTTCACATCACTGTTGCCACTGCTGAAATGCACTACCCACCACCTCAGGATGCTCAAATCTACTTTTTGGTCTCCATAAGCATTCAGCAAGCATCAATGAATGCCAATGGCCACAATTTTTTCTGTATGAAGTAAATCAGTTCCACACCTTTGCTTCCTCTGCACTTCGATGTCAGATTTCACTCTGTCAGATTGCCCCTCTGCTACCACCTGTCAACATGTCATGGAATATTGGTGGGAAGGTTTAACCTCCCCTGCATTCCACCAACATCCACCTCTAGCTTTGGACTAACATACCATGACAGGAGGCATTACTTTTGGAGCCCTTGTGAATATTTCTGTCCATCCTGAGATAGACCACTAAGTTTAGACAGTCCTTCTCAAAAGTTGGACTTCTAATGGTTATGAGTAGCCCTACCATCTGTACCCAGCTGCACATTTGCATGCAACTTTCATATAATCCTAGAATCACAGACTGGCCCGGGTTGGAAGGGACCTCAAGGATCACGAAGCTCCAACCCCCCACCAATGCAGGGCCACCAACCTCCACATTTCACAGCAGCCCAGGGCCCCATCCAACCTGGCCTTCAACACCTCCAGGGATGGACGGGGCATCACAGCCTCTCTGGGCAGCTGTTCCAGCACCTCACCACTCTCACAGCACACAACTTCCCCCTGACATCCAACCTCCATCTGCCCTCCCTCAACTCCAAACCATTTCCCCTTGTCCTGCTGCCATCTCCCCTTTCCAAGAGCTGACTCCCCTCCTGTCTGCAGGCTCCCTTTAGGTACTGCAGGCTGCACTGAGCTCACCTCGCAGCCTTCTTTTCTCCAGGAAGGTTTCATTCTACATGCTTCTGCCTCTTCCTTATCACACACCCTTCCTATCATGCCAGTGGAATTAGAGACCTGAACATACCTTAGCACTCAGATTATATCTCTCCTATTACCAATAATTTCATCATTCATAAGCTACAATTTTCAAAGTAGGCGTATTTGTATAAATGTCTTACCTTTCCTGAACATGCTGTATATGACTCCTTCTATTCTCTTGAGTATTGTAAGCAATAGTTTCTTACTATTTCTCATTTAATTGTGCTGATTTTATTACAGATAATGTTAGTATGGACATTCTGTGATGGGGAGAGAGGAATGGGCTACTCAAAGGAGACATGTATTTCATATATTTTCATTGTTTATAAAATTGGACAGAAAAATAAATTTTAATGAGCTTTTTTAAAGCGTAATTACACAGATACTAGAGAAGCCATCATCTTTACTTTAACAAACATTTTGCAGTGAGTTTCTGTAATATTTTTGGTCCTAAGTCTGGAAGAGACCCTCCAGTGGGGTTGTTCATCACTAGAAAGAAAAGCATGTGAATCTGAACAGCTTGCACAGCAAAATTCCTTTTGTACCACGGGTGGAGGGAGAGATTTGAACTAGACAACTCTAAAATGAGAGCTGTGAGACAGTACTTTGAGAAACTGCCTTCCGAACAGCTTTTCTCATTCAGGATTGAAGACTTATGGAATCCTAGAATGGCCTGGGTTGCAAAGGAGCACAGTGCTCATCCAGTTCCAACCCCTGCTGTGTGCAGGTTGCCAACCAGCAGCCCAGGCTGCCCAGAGCCACATCCAGCCTGGCCTTGAATGCCTGCAGGGATGGGGCATCCACAGCCTCCTTGGGCAACCTGTGCCAGTGCCTCACCACCCTCTGGGGGAAAAAATTCCTCCTCATATCCAACCTAAACCTCCCCCTGTTTCAGCTTAAAACCATTCCCCCTTGTCCTATTACTATACATCCTCATAAATAGCCATCCCCCCTCCTGTTTAAATGCTCCCTTCAAGTATTGGAAGGAAAGTTATGAAAGCTGCTGTGCTGGGAAACTCAAGCAAAGGTTGCAAAGTGGGATTTAACTTGGATCCATCTGTGCCTGCTGCTGAATCTCAGCTCCCATGAGGAACAGAACACAAGACATGCAGCTGGGCACTCCGACAAGGTAATGCCAGCACAGCAGCAGTTTCAAATCCTGGTGTGTATAACCGTGCTCAGCAGTGGCACCAAGCACAGCACAGCCGTGATCGTATAGTGGTCAGTACTCTGCGTTGTGGCCGCAGCAACCTCGGTTCGAATCCGAGTCACGGCAGGAACCCTCCCCCTAAACGTGGCTTGAATTTTGGGTGGTGGGTCCCTTCTGATTTAACTCTGTCATACTCTGGCATGTGTTCTTTCACAGCTGCTGAGGGGAGGAGATTATTACAGGAGCCCTCAAACCGAGCAGAGGGAGCAAAAAAGTTGTGAGAAAAGTTTGCGCTCCAAAGTAAACGATTTGAGAAAGGACTTACAACAGCTCAGCCAACACACACAAATATCTCCAAATACAGTCCTGGAAGTGGGGTGCAACAGAGTTGTTACACTGTCAGAGAATCACTGCGCAGCCCTAATCCAGCATCTGTTATCTCTAAAAACACACCGCAATGAATTCCCTGTGCTCCAGAGGCAGCCATGATTTGAAAAATGCTGCTATTAATTGATTCCCCAAATTAACTGTTAATCCAAGAGTCCTGATTATGATTAGTGTGCTAATCAATTTATTTGATAGAAAGCTTTTTAAATTTTCCAAATTACAGTTCAGCTCTTCTCTCTCTCTTTTTAGCTTGTTTCATCTAATTAACTGTTTTTCCTAGCAGTGAAAAGCAAGATCTTCCTTTCTTAATTGCCTCTTGACCCTTTCTCCCTCTCCAATGCGGTTGCCTTTAGAGGTTCTTCATCATGAGAAAATTAAAATGCTATCAACGAATTAAAAATATTGTTTGGCTCAGAGGAAACTTCCCAGCACGTCTATGAATGCTTCGGAGTTATATTTACACAGCTTTGCTGGGGAAAATCTGACTCCCAAGCAGACTGGATTGCCCTTCAGTTAATGCATGCAGATGAACAACCTCCCTGTCGACTTTGCAGGATCTGTTTTGGTAATTGCTGATTGCAACACCAGGCATGGAATGTCTGCAGTGCACAAGAGAGCTGTGCAAGGAGCGGGGACACATGGATGTCTCCTGATAGCCCAGAGGTTGGTGGGATGGCCCTGAACTTCAGGGTGCTCTCTGACCTCAGGGTGGATCTAACCGTGCTGATGTGCATGGTGTGTGGGGGGGTTTCCACATGCCTTGGGAAAGCACTTGGAAAGTTACTGTGCTTCTTGGAGAGGGAAAACAAAGCCCAAAGCTTGGCTGTCACAGCCTCGTCTGATGGCTGATGGCTGTTCTCATTTCCAACTTCCCCCACATCAGTGGTTTGCAGGGGCTTTCTGAGTTGCTCCTCATGATCAGACTCCACGGATGAGACTTCCGAAGCAGCCCATTCTGAAAAGTAAAGAAATAGCTCTTGTTAGTGACAACAGCAGCATCCTCTCCTCATATATATAAAGGTCAGCTCTAAATCAGAAACTCAGTTTAAAGAGCAAATCACTTCCTGGGCTGCTAGTGCTTGGGATGAGAGGACAGGACTGGATAATTCCCTTCCCCTCTCCTTCCCAGCCCCTGCTCCCAGCATCAACAATCTCCATCTCTTAGCACCATGGCTTCACCCACCAGCTTGTCATGCATTTTGTACCACCTGTGTGCATAGCACTATGCCTAGAGAATGCATGCTGTCTTCTCAAACGTCCTTCCTCATTTCTTCACTGAATATTTTTTTCTCACAGCAGAACCCAGAATAGCTATTGCTCAGCATGTTCTCACAGAGGGATCCTTTCTTGTCTGTGAGTGCTGTTTGCTGCTGAAATATCTCACTGCTTCCATGCAGTGTAACTTTGTGATTCTCTTTTCCCTCCATCCTTCTCTGAAAGCTGGGAGATTCCCATTCCAGTTCCCCCAGACAGTGAAATCTTCAGGAACTCTTCCAGCTTTGCTCAGCACAAGAGCCCTTATTCAGAATCCCCTCTTTGACTCCTGCAGTTCCAGCTGGTGGAACTGTTTTGCCTGGAGCAGCTAACCAACAGGCTGCAATGTTTGGTGTCAGCCTGCAACCGCTCTGTGATCAACTGCAGCTGAATGCAAGCTGAATCATCCCACAGCTGTACAAACCATGCACTGCAACAAAGTGCCAAAGGGATTTCTTCCTGAAGCACAGAAGCCAATGAACCGTGATGTGCAGGTGAGTAAGCTGCAGGCCACTCCATGTTAATGCCTGCTGATCTGATCCAGATTTGATAGCCCAGGAAGAAAAAGAAGTTTTACAAAAGATCTTTCCAGCACAGATTTGCAAGGAAGGAGCTTGGGAAAGTGATTGCCATTGAGACACAGTTATCGGATAGACCTCATATCTGTAGCATCTTCCTGTGTCTTAGGTTTCAACTTGAGGCAGTATTTCTGCTGGTGGTGGCCAGGATGACTTCTTTGAGGCATTTCTTCCTCACCCCACAGGGTCTTCCTCTATGAGCCTCCAGGCTGCCTCAGGTTGCTGCAGTCCCCATTTTCATTACCACTTTCTGGACAGTTGCCTTCGTCCTAGGACTTTCCTCTTTGCTTCTTTCTCAGAGCAGCTGGCTTCTCCTGGAGAAAAATAACAACAGGAAGATCAACATTCACCTTGTTTTGTTTTGTTTTTCCATTCAGCCACTGGTATTCAAATTCTCCCTATCTCATCTGTTTTTCCCTATCCTCTTTCTTCCTATTGCTTCATCACTTTCCCATACCCTCCTAGCCATCTCCAGTGTCTCTCCTGGGTCTTCCCTCAGCCATACAAACAACATTTCCTTTCTCCTGTCTTAAAGCAAAGTGAGAACACACCTCTCTCTCTGCTTGGTTTTGCAGCTACTTTTATGTCTCCTGTTTTTTCATGGCTTACTTTCTTCTTCAGTACTTTGCCTGCTTGGACTATCATTTCTTCAGGACATATACTGGCTTTAACTGATATTTGCATAGATCCAAGTACAGCATCATTGATAGCTTTCCTGAGGCAAAGAAGGCTAATACCAATAGCACGGGAAAAGCTCAAACAGTGACTGATGAACTTCTGTTTCTGCCAGCTAAACTTTGGGAGTCATTACTTCCAGCATGATAAGTTTTAAAAAAAAAGATCTGGAAGAAGATTTATACATTGGTTACATTAATTTTTAGATCACGACTGACCAATTTGTCATTTAAGATTAGCCTGTATATACAACTGTGTTTCAAAATCTGATAATCACAATTTTAAATTCCTCCTAGGCAACTGGGAATGCCCTCTTTCCACTCGCCTACTCATTTTCACCCCACCTTTGTTTCAGCTTCTGGTTGCTGCAGCAAAGTACTCATCTTAGCTAATGCTCAGGCAAGGTATTGGGTTTCCCATTAACATGAGGATTGAAAAGTCACTCATTGATTTACCTTCATTACACAGATAATGAGAGGTATTTTTCATTCAGAGATGTGTAATGAAAAATGGCTTTCTCATTCATTAAGTTGTCAAATTGTAATGGGTCTCTATTTACAGGAATCTCACATACAAGTGCCAGAAGCTGCCTGGTGTACGTGCAGGTATACAATGCTGTGGATGCTGAAACAGCAAACAGCTCTCCGTGAGCTTGTTTGGATCCTGGAGGAACAGCACATTAAGGAAAAGCCTTGCCAAGGCCAATCTATTCTGTCTCATCCTTCTCAGAAGGATGTGGGCCCTATGAGTCTATATCTAACATGCCAAAATCATGCTCAGTGTGCTCTTGAAATAAGCTGTCAGAAAGACTGAAATGAGATAATCCTGTTGCATTCAGGCCTGGTATGGTCTGCAGAAGTGCCAAGAGTTCATTTGTCATGCTGTTGCCCTCAGGCTCCAAGTAGCCAAAATACTAGGAGATCAAAAAATTATTTATCAACAACAGAAGGTCCAAACACATCCATCCATGCATTCCCTTGGATGAAGGGACTGTGGGTTGAGAAGCTGACCCTTGGGGATGGTTACCTTTGGTGATGTTGATCAAAGGTATTTGATCTCGCCACCTAGATTGAAACGGAGTGGCAGGTGGGGAATCAGGTGCAGGTTGGCTCTACCACTATTTATTTCAGGGAAAAAAAAATCCCACGTAACTTCACCACAAAAAAAACAAACAAACAAAACCAGCATAAACTACTTTCTTCTGTTTTCCTCTTGACAAAGAGCTGCTCATCCAACATAATCACAGCCTACCATGAGGTCTGGTCTCAGTTCAACCAGCATTCCTTGGAAGAAGTGCTCAGAGTAATGGTTGTAATCTTTTGGGCATTTTGAAACTGTAAGCCCAAGATCAGCTGCTGTGCTACCTGGAGCAGAAAGTAATTTGATTTTCCATTTCTGGCCTTTCCAGCAAGTTGACTAAAGAACTCTTTTCTGGGAGAAAATCTGTGAGTATACATAGAGGCCCAGACTTTTATGAAGATCAGCAGAATTTCTGCTGAAATCACTCGACTTAGACCAGGGCAGAGTAGGTGTTAATGAGAATGAAATCCAGCAAAGCCTGGAAGCAATGCAAATCCTACATCCTTTCAAAGCACAGTAATTGATTCAGAACCCTTAAAAGTTGTGTTTTTTTGGAGAAAGTTACAACTTTTTTTTTTCTTTTTGTCCCTCCTTTTCCTGCAGGTCAGTCTGTCTCTAAAGGGAAGTGACCAACTATTCCAGTTCCTCCATGCCAGATCTGGATGCCCTCAGTCCTGGCCATCCCTTCGGTTCCTCTCTCCTCAGCTCTGTCATGACAGCAAATGTCCTTCCAGGAGGAACCATTCAAGGATCTGTTATATCTTTCCAGATGAATTAGGGACATTAGAAAAATACCATTCTTTCCAGGGAAATACAACTCCCCAGATAAAGCCCACCCACTTCCAAAGAAATCTCTTCTGCTTTTACTCTGACCATCTCCTCATTGAAGCTCCTCTCAGCACAGTTTCTGAACATTTAGGTTGTCTTTGGTAACCATTTGCTTCTGCCTATTTTGCATGCTGTCCTTTGCACTGAATTTAATCACTTCTTACTCTGGTTTCTTTCTTCCTCACCTTTCCAGGCCTGTGCATTGCCAGCAGCTCCTTTTCCCTCCTCAATTAACCTTATGTTATTTCTTTCCATGGGAAAAAATACCTTATACTGCAAAACAGCCATCCCATCTTACAGAGTTTGCTTTTCTAATAATTACTTTATTAAAACTTTTTTCTCCTGTTTTTATTGGGTGACCAAAAACACCCACCAAAGAAACAGGAAAAAAAAAAAAAAACACTCTGGCATTATTAATTAAGCGTGGCCTTAAAGAAACCCTATAAAACTCTAATAATATTTTTATGTGCAGAATTAAATTCTTATTGATTTTTCACGTAGGTTAAATCAGTAAGCAAAAGTAAGTTGCATAGTTTTTAATAGGAACTTTATTTTTTTGCTGTAGTTGTAGTCCAGGAACATAAAAACATTAAAAAAAAAAATGCAAAATGGCAAAATCCATCAGACTGTGGCAAAGTGAAGGAAGAAAAAGAAACACATAAGGAAGCTGCCTGGAAATGTACATAAAAGCCTAAATTATTATTTGCTGGCACAAGCAATTAGAAGCAAGAATAAGAGAAGTCATTGCTTTCTTATTTTGATTTTAATATGTTAGGATACACTTACATGTAATAACGTAAATAAGTGAATAAACCAAAAAGGAGCTTGCTGAGAAATTAATTAAAGTGTCTTGTAATCCTGGGGGATGATTCCAGAGTACACTTTTAGGATCTCAGAGAGGCTGTGATGCCCCGTCCATCCCTGGAGGTGTTCAAGGCCAGGTTGGATGGGGCCATGGGCAGCCTGGGCTGCTGTGAAATGTGGAGGTTGGTGGCCCTGCATGTGGTGTGAGGTTGGAGCTTCGTGATCCTTGAGGTCTCTTCCAACCAGGGCCGTTCTGTGATTCCAGGATTCTATAATCACTGGTATCTGATTTTTCAAGCATCTGGCTCTTTATGTAGCACAGTATTTTTACTTCCATCAATTCTAGGATAGAAACATAAGGAAAGCAGTGGCAGGGTGAAATTTATTAGAAAGTTTCATTGAGGGAATCACACCAAGTAATATCAGCTGAGCATTTGGGGCTCGAATCTTTATTCCTTCATGCCACGTATAAATATGCATACACGAGGACAGAGGTGATGTATAACGCTGTGTCTCTGCATTTATGAAAAGACCTGGATGTTAACTTCACGGAGTGATGACAATTCACACCAGCTGTGAATCAGCTTGTGGTAATATATGACAGTAATAAACACGTGAAATATGCTATGGCTTTTCCCTAGAGTAAGCATTTAGGGCATGGCAGCATCCAACAGTGTAAATCCATGGAGCTGTACTGACAGCAGGGAAGCTAGGCTATTCAGAAATGTTATTAGCTGCAGCTTGTTCTAGCTTTTAAACAAGGTTTCCAAGTCTGTGAGGTGGGACCTGTCTGGCCTCTTCGAGATGGGAATATCGCATAAAAAAAACCATGAGCTTTCTTAGTATGTACTGTCATGGCTGCTCCTCACATTATCCTGTAACCTACAGGTTGGATCTTAGGAAAAACTTCTCATAAAGAGCAGTGATGCACTGACACAGCTGTCCAGGCAGTGGTGGGGTCACCGTCCCTGGAGGTGTTGCAGAGCCATGGAGATGTGGCACTGAGGGATGTGGGCAGTGGGCATGGTGGGATGGGCTGGGGTTGGGCTTGGCGGTCTTGGATGTCTTTTCCAACTTGAATGATGCTGTGGTTTTATTCTGTGATTCTACCTACCTATTTATATACACGCACACACACACGTACACAAATAAATATACACACACCTACTTAAAGATGTATGCATTCCTATCTTAACATCCACCCCAGCTGATGGAGCTGTAGCTGGTGGTGGGAGTTCAGATGAGCTCTCATTTGACTTCATCTGCTGAGAGCTTCCTGCATGGCACATCACACTGGGGCTGCTGTTTGTGCAGCTGTAGGAACATTATGGCCTTCTTTGTGGCTGTAGGTGAATGCGAAGGGCCGCGTTTCTCTTTTAATTCCTATAGGCTGTTATAAAACACATGCAAGGGAAAGGGTTTACTGTGCAAGCTGATGAGTGATTAGTTATACATGGATGTTTTTATACTTCTGAAGAGATGTTAGAGAGTGGCTGCAACTGCATTTTGATTCGATAATTGGGTTTGAAGGACTCTCAAATCTATGGAAATGCTTTTCAGTTTTAAAAAGGTGATGTGAAGCCCCTTTACATTTGATTTTGACATCTGCTGGGATCGTTGCAGTAAGAGATCAGATAATGAACTGAGGAAGTTCTTGGGAAGTTTGATAGTGCTTTTTACCGAGGAAATGCTACCCACCCAACCAAGTGACTGTGCATACTGGGCATTTATCCCATGTTGCTACTGATGATAACAATTATAAAGAAATTATAATGTCTTCTGTCTTTTTTTTTTTCCCCAAATGCACCAGCAAAACTTTGGTTTGTTGGGAGAATTAAAGTAGTAAGTCACATTGCATGGCTGAAATTCTTCAATCTGATAAGAAGATACTGATAAGATTCAGTTCTGTTGCAGGAAGATGCCTGCAATCACTGAGAGACAGTTACCAAAAGAGCCACCAAGGTACCATAAACCCAAAGGCAGGTGGAAAAATGTGAGTTGGCATCAAGTCTTGCAGGATCCATGCCGGACCTTCAGCTGATTAAACTTACAAACCTTCATCAGCATCCCCAGCAACGAGAATGCCTGATACACTTAAAATCAAGATGTTTGTGAAGTACCTAGTGAGGATTCGCTGTGGGTCTAAAGGCTTTACCCTGTAAAAGGAGGAAAAGATCCTTAAGGTCATCTCAGAGACCCAAGCCTTGGGGGCAAGCTAATATTCTGTCCAGGGGACTTCACCTGAGGGATGAAGTCCTCCCTCTCCCACTGGCAGCCTCAAGGAGCAAAGGCAATGCTGGAACTATGAGGACTGCTCCGGATAGATCAGCTGGATGGCTCATTTAGAGCTGAAATACGTGTAAGAACTGCTGTTATTCTTAGAAACAAACATGTTGAAGGAAATCCCATCCAAGGTTGTATGTTGACTGCTTACATTGTTGGAGAAAGGGGTATAATTTCTCACTTCTTCAGCTAGACAGGATATTTCTAGACATTAGAAAAGCAGTCTAGTGGCTGGACGGAAATCATTCCTAAAGAGTTGCCTGGGGAGGTGGCAGAATTTCTACCACTGATTACCAGGAAAAATACCCACCATGCATGTGTCAGGAAGGATATAGGTGGAGTCAATACTCCTGCAGGTGAGAGGGACAGCAATGGACCAGACAACCTTCTGATCTTCCTTCTACATGCATTTTCTGGCGTGTTGTGTTGAGATTCCCTTCCACAACTGCAAAATGAATAATAAAGAACAATATGGGTTTAGCATGATGTCCTGTGTGCTACTCCATTCTCAGGCATTACCTTTAAAAGCTATTTTATGTACGATAAAAGTGTAGTATTTTATATAATGAGCAAGCAGAGCATCTTCCTTTCCACTGCATGTACTCTTACCAGCCATAAATCATCTGAAGTGTGCATTGTTCTGTATTAACCGTAGTCTAGATGGATGTCTGGTCTGCCATCTTCCCAAGTCCTTCTACTAAAACAATCCAAAACAGCAGATTGCATTGTGCAAATTATAACAATTATGGTGCAGCCCTGGATCAGAATTTATATCAGCAAAAGCATTCTGTTGTTTGTTTGTTTGCTTGCTTAACCTTTTCTCGCTCCTCAGAAGGAAACTCAAAACCAAATAAGTTCCCTGGCCATGGGGCTGTGTTCATTCTCTGCATCTCTGCAGCACGAAGGTTTCCCAGTCTCTGTCTTTGCACTGCTGTTCTTTACGAAAACTTCTTCCCTATTAATGCAAAGTAGGCAATTAAGCAAGTGAGGACCCTACTGATGGGGAAGGCCAAAATCATGCTACAAAGCATGCATTGCAGCCTGTGCCCATGTCCCACTGACCTCTGCATGGAAAGAATAGCACAGGGCTGGAAGTTCAGTTCCTCCCTGGGTTCACTCAGGGCCTCTCTCCAGCCAAGTATACTTCTCCCTATTACCTCAGACCAAATTACTTGCTTGGGTTTTAATTAAACTAAGGTGTTAGTCTCCATGCACCCCCCCGGATGGACACACTGACCATCCCTTGCTGTCCAGGCAGCCACACAAACCACTGGAAGCTTGCCTGGTGCTTAAGTCAACAGGAGCACGGTTCAATGGTTGAAATGTATATTCAGCATACCACAGTAAAACACCCTTTTATTTGATGGCTGAGAAATGTTTTCTATTCATTTATAGATAAAAACATAGAGAGGAAAATCCGGAAGATAATCTGTGAGGTTTTTAGTGAAGAATATTACAAAGGAGCTCTGAAAATATGTAGCTGTCTTTCAAAATAAAAATAAAAAATTGGGTACAATATTCGTCACTGCGAATTTAGCATTATCCAGTAGTGTAAAACTGGATTGCTCTTTTAGAATCATTTTTAACTTTAAAAAGGGTGTTTGCCTCTGCAGACTGTCATACTCAAGAAAATAAATAAAACCATATTGATATGTGGGAAGGTTATCTGCAGCTTATCTGTTTTTCTCCCTAAACGAAGGCCAGATCCAGGCATTGATTCTTCTGCTGCTACGACGTAATCTGTTGAACTAATTACACTCAGAAACAAGTACACTTTTCTACAGCTATAATAAAGAAACACCTCACACTCCTCTGTTATTTCCCACAGTTTTGTAGCTGTTTTAATGGGCTTTGATCCTTCATGCTGAGCCATCACTCAAACACTCAATACTGGGCACATACGTTTTCCCTTCAGTCTTCTGCCATCCTTGAAGAAGAGCTTCACCAGCAATTCCTTGAAAACCCATTAGACAAATGCTCCGTAGCTTTACTCTTCTATTGCTCTGCCTGTAATCAGCGTGTAGGCTTCCCTTAAATTCAATTATACTGAACTGGTCTCTCAAGCCTTGCTCATCTGACTTGAAAGAGTTGATGACGGCGTTAACAAAAATACACAGGTCCACATCATCTTCAAACAGCCCTGCTATTTCACTGGAATGGATTCGTATTTCATTCCAAAGAATTCTTTAAAGTACCAATTCCAATGTCTTATCATTTTTATAGCTGCAATTTAAGGCGAGCTCCATGAGTTGTGTGCTTTTGTGCTGAAGTTGATCACTGCCCAAAGAATCAGGGCTGCTTTAATCATTTCATAACCCAGCGTGAGCCAGCCATCAGCTGTTAGAAACAGCTCCACAAATACGCGACTCGTGCAAAGAAAGGAAACCAGCATGTCTTAGCACAGAAAGCAAAAGGAAAATCTTTATCACATGCTTTTCACAGTGAAAATATTGCACCCCCATGGAGCACATGCTCCCCAGAGGAAATGCCATTCAAAGCCAGTCAGCATGTGCTGTGCGTCCGGACTTAACAAGAGTCCTGACATGTTTGATAAGAGGGTCATCCAATTGATCCTGGCAATTACATAAAGAGAGACTTTCTGTCTTTATGAAGAATTCCACCATCATTTTAAAATACACTCAACCCAAAGGCCATGACCGATGATTAAAAAAAAAAAAAATCAAAGAATAATAATGGGAGATAATATAATGATCTGTTGTGAACTGAAATCAGGCGATGTGTAACTTTTGTGGAGCCCGTGCAAAAAGGACAATTTTCTGCTTAATGCAAAATGCTTCCTCCTGCTCGGATGCTCAATTCTCTTGAGAGGAGCCCATTTCTCTGCACAATCTTCTGTTGTTTGGAAGCAATTAGATAATTAGTTACCTGGAAAGCAACAACAGATTTTTATGTAATCTGTACTGCATTATGATCCTTCTCCTGGTTGCCGCTGCTAAGTCCAGTATCTCTAAAGTCAGAGCAATCCATCTGTTCATAATAATTTTATGCTGCCACAAATATTGCTGTTCATGACTAATTACTTTTTTTAATGACCTATTTATTTTTGCCCATCTCTGCATCTGAACATATTATTCGGAAATTCAAGATACGCTTTAGCTTACAAAGATGATTAAGTACATTCTTTGTGACACCAAAACAATTTGCAGGGAATGAGCAACCTTTGTGTACACAATGCAGTGGTAAATCCTTCCACCATCCACAGCCGTGATGTGCAGCATACTTTCCCCATTCAAAACAGCTCTCAATTTCTGATCTTTCCCTAAATTCTGAACGCAGTAACCATGCATATACATAGTTACAGCTGTATTCTTTATTCCACCAGATTTTTTTCCTCCTCCAGTGCTCACAGATGATGTACCTGATGAAGTCAGTGCTAATATAAAAACTCAATTTGACTCCAACAGATTTTTATCTTTTCCTTTTTTGTTGTTTTTTTTTTTCTTCAGTTTTCTTTTTCCCTGTTTGCATCTCCACCTGCATGTGGACTTGTCAAAAAATACGATAAAATGATATGCTGGCACTGATAAAATAGCAGCAAAATAAGAATTATAATGGCTATCCAGAGATACTGTGTGTGGAATGAGTAAAGCGCTGCAGGTTGGGAAGGGATTGCTAGCAGCAAATTGCCACAACTGGGTGCTGGTTATCTTTTGATTGTTAATAGCATAAATGAGCATTCTGGGCTCCATCAGCAGAGGGGTGGCCAGCAGGGACGGGGAGGTGATTGTCCCCCTCTACTGTGCTACTGTGAGGCCCCATCTGCAGTGCTGTGTGCAGGTCTGGAGCCCCAGGACAAGAAAGACAGGGAGCTGTTGGAGAGGGTCCAGAGGAGCCACAAAGATGAGCAGGGGGCTGCAGCACCTCCACTACAAAGACAGGCTGAGGGAGCTGGGCTTGTTCAGCATGGAGAAAAGAAGGCTGCGGGGTGAGCTCAGTGCAGCCTGCAGTGCCTAAAGGGAGCCTGCAGACAGGAGGGGAGTCAGCTCTTGGAAAGGGGAGATGGCAGCAGGACAAGGGGAAATGGTTTGGAGTTGAGGGAGGGCAGATGGAGGTTGGATGTCAGGGGGAAGTTGTGTGCTGTGAGAGTGGTGAGGTGCTGGAACAGCTGCCCAGAGAGGCTGTGATGCCCCGTCCATCCCTGGAGGTGTTCAAGGCCAGGGTGGATGGGGCCCTGGGCAGCCTGGGCTGCTGTGCAATGTGGAGGTTGGTGGCCCTGCATGGCACAGGGGGGTTGGAGCTTCGTGATCCTTGAGGTCTCTTCCACCCTGGGCCATTCTATGATTTTAGGATTCCGTGACGAGCATGAGCACATACAGTTTTAGCAGTTTGGCTGCTTCTGGATCTGTCCTTATTGAATGCTGGTGTGCTCTGAGGTTCAATGGCTGCTGCTTCTGCTCAGCCCCTGTGTGGTGGGCATGGACGAAGGCATATCCTGCAGACTGCCAACCTGCCCCAGGGCCTGGCAGCCTCGGCTGGGGCTGCTGGTGGCATCATCCTAAAGGCAAGTGGTGATGGACAGGTTGGCACATGGTGCTGCTTTTGTGATTTGTGTCACTGAGCTGTGCTACTTTGGGGAACAAAAATATATCATACTATACTTCAGAGAGCTGCTATCCTTTTGTACATCCCCCGGTAATAGATGGAAAAATTCTTCTGGTCTTTAGTGCCCTTATTGCTTTGAGTGTCATTACTTCTGCCACGCAAATGCATATGTTTCAATATAGATGTATTTATCGAGCAAATCTTTAAGCAGCAAGAAGTAAAATCTGCAGGTTTTATCTCAGAATGATGCCAGAACACATTTATTGACGAGCTGATTGTTCTTGCATTCTAATGCACAGCAGTGAATGAAGTCCACATTCACCAGCACCATGTATTGGTATTTCATGGCTGTGCACTAATGCAATTCACTTAGGAGTTTATTCATGATGCATAATGTTAAATATATGGTTAAATCCCAATGATCTGGTGTCTGACTTTGAAGTAAGAGAGATCTTACTCCATAAATAATGTAATGCTAGTGAAATAAAACACAAGTTTTGGCTCTTTTTGCTCATGCTAAATGAGTATGGATGTGAATATGGCTTCAACATCAGAATCTGAAAAGGAATTTGATGGTTAGCAGCTGAAAAATAGCAAGAAAAGCCTGACAATTTTCAGCAATCCTCTGAATATCAGTAAAATCCCAAATAGGTTTACAAATAAAATAAAAACAAAATGAATAGCTTCCAGTTCCCTACACATCTGTGGGCTTTTTCACAAGTTTAGCCATTCATAATTATTATTTTCTACGAGATACCCAGAGCAGCACAAATCCCTGGGTTCCCATGTTTATCCCTTCTCTTTCTTCCTTTGCCAGGACACTTTTTCATCTCATTCAGTGGTTGCATACAGTGACCACATCCTCTGGCACGGGGTTACTAGAACAAACAGCCCATGATTTGTTTCTATTTATTTCTCATATTGCATTGTTTCCTCTCATTCTATGTACTTCAGAAATCCTAGAGCTTGAAGATCTCCTTCCCTTCCTATCCTCCAAGTGTTTTCCTCTGTAAGAGATTTTTGCAAAATAGAGGGATGAATACGGGGGCCAAATCATGAATAAATAGCTTTTTCTACCTAAATGTAAAACAATTATATTCTCGCTGCCTTCTCTTCTCCTGGCTGCCCCACCTCCCTCAGTCTATCCTTGTAGGGGAGGTGTTTCATCCCTGGGATCATTTTTGTGGCCCTCCTCTGGAAGCACTCCAACAGTTCCACGTCTCTCCTGCACTGAGGACTCCCCATCTGGACTCAGTGCTCCAGGTGAGGTCTCACGGCACAGAGCATAGGGGCAGGATCACCTCCCTCACCCTGTTGGCTATGCTGC